ACGTCCTCTACCACGGGCTCCCCCTGAATCTCTGCCCCCAGTACGACCACCACCACGATTATGAGTAGGCCCACCATTGCCACTTCGGCCATACGCAGAACCACTACCACCACCACGGCCAAACTGAGCTCCCCTAGCTCCACCTCTAGCACCACAGCCTCTCGATACAGCAAAGGCAGATCAATCTGAGATATTAGAGTTCTCAGTATATCCGATAGAAATCCTCCGAAGTCGAGCAAATACCTTTTCTAAGGAGGGAAGAGCTAATCCTCCTAATATCTGAGCCCGTACTGGTTCATATTCAGACTTTAGTCCCACCAAAAATCTAGTTACATCAAGTTGTTCTCTCTGTTGTTGCTGAATCTTGACATAGAAGTGAGAGGATGATAGACATTCAACTCATTACGTATGTTTCTCATGTTGGCATAATACTCCTCAAGACTATGATTGCCCTGTTGTAGGTTAAAGTACTCTTGATACAGTTGATAAACTCTGATTGTATTGTCCTGCCCCGAATACAATTTCTTCGCATGGTCTCACACATCTTTGGCAGTATCAAGAAACATGAAGTTCACACTAATCCTGGGTTCCATACTATTCCACAACCATGTGATGATCTGAGCATCCTCTTGCTCCTAGTCTTCATACTCGTGAAAGTCAGATGAGGGTTTCTCCTCTCTTATGTGTTTTACCTTCTTCTTTGCCTTCAGAAAGACTTCAACGGATTTAGCCCAAGGCACATAATTCTCTCCATTTACTTTAATGGAGGTCATCTGAACATTCAGGTAGTCTGTAGGCACCATCACACTAGGTTTATAATCACTATTATCCCCCATTATGTTATCACCGATTCTGCACACTTGCTGAATTCTATTACCACTGAGATCTGCACTGCACACCACTAGGTCACACCTGTCACACTGATTGCAGCACTTATTGTTGCTGAAATGTTTGCTCTTTACACCACAAACCCTAGATCACACCTATCACACTGATTTCAGCACTTGTTGCTGAAAAGTGTGCTCTTTACACTACAAACCCTACTCCTACAACTACCTGAAATCTCACCACTATATGATCATATCTCTTCCTTCGAAATGCACAAAGAAACCAGCATAAACCCTAGCACATTACTGTCTGAAACCCTAGCATRTGGTCTGAAACACACTTCCTATTTAATCCATAACAGATATCATGCACTGAGATCTCTTACCTTATCACTGAAGTAACAACCATACGAGCAAGAAATCAGTCCACACACGACAGCCACTGCACACACAGTTCGGCCCTCTATTCTTCCTCTACCAAGAGAGGGCAATCTCAGAAACCACAGCAACCGACCACATACAACCTGACTGGAGGCATAGAAACCTCCAAGGGAAGAGGGCGATCACTCATTTTCAGCCCTTTCCCTTACCTCCAATCGAATGCAGAAAAAAAAGGAAAAACCCTAGATAGGGTGCGTAGAGAATAGAAACCTACGCAAGCAGAAATATAGGCAGATTCAAGTTGCTCTGATACCATGTTATGATTCGGTTCTGCCTTAGAGTTCTGTCTGTCTGAGATCAGTTATGTAGAAAGAGAAAGGTGGAAGAAAGAGAGAAAGAGAGAAGGAAGAAATTCTGGTTTGAACCGGAAGACTCAACATAACATCTCCCAGTCGGCCAAGCAGTATTTATATTATTAAAATTAATTGAAAAGACAATATGTGCCCTTATTTAAATTAGGAGCACTGGTTCCAACACAACATTACAGATCAGCAACATTAATCTAGGTATAAAGACAGAAATACCCCTATGCTAACAGTTAAAATACCCCTATGATCACTTATCAAAAAAATTACCCCTATGACCAGCACTTATAATTTAACAATACATAACAAATAGATTAATTTAATGCATTATCAGAATCAGGTAGTGAAGTACATAATGTAGTATCAAAAAAAAAGTACATAATGCCCATACTCCAAACAAAAAAAGTGGACATTCAAGATTCAGTTGCATCTGACCCTAATCAAAATGCAATATAATACACTTCTCTGGGTTCTGCCCCAGGGCCTGGAATGCCCCATTTCATATCCCTCTTATTCACCACCACTTGGCTGGACTCTCAGCATATTGTTGTTGGTTTCCCCCGGTATCTATATGAAAGAGAAATTAAGATTTGTTACTGAATTCAAAGCTTCTCCTATTCAATGTCATAGAGTCCAAGGACATTCAGTCTTTGATTGAAACTAGCTTACTACCACCTTGCAATAACACTGTTTAGGAAATCGAACCAGACTGGTCAGTTGAACCGATTGAACCGTGACCGGGATCTTGGCCGGTTTGGTTACACCCCAAGAACAATAATTGTGAAAAACCCAGGGAAAACCAGCTGACTGGCCAATTTACCAGAGAACCGGTGAACCAGTCCTGGTTTCATGAAACCACTCAAGTCATTAAATAATTGAAATTTTAAAATGTCTGTGCATAGTTATCAAGGCGTCAAGGTGAGGCTTGGCAACAGGGGGCACCTTGTCACCTAGTCACCTAGGTGGGCACCTCGCCATGCAAAATTTAATTAAAAATCCCTGTTTGAAAAGGTAATGGCAATATGTATTCACAGTGGAAAGCATATTTGCATATAGTTCTTGACGCTTCCAGTATGTTTTAAGGAAGGCAAGAGCTTAGGTGCTAGCAGAAACATCTTGTTTTGCTGGGGTTATGGGATTAGCCAGTCAGCTAGCATATCTGTTGGCTGAGACCTGAGAGTGATATAGACAATAATGATTCTATTGTAGCCCATCCCTTCCTGAGCATAGTTTTACATGTTTGTGAATTTTGCAAAACTTCAGTTTCAGACACATCAACCAAAAGATAATATGAAAATATATTAGAGGGAATCATTTCAGTCCAAAATTCAAAACTTCATCCAATATTTCAGGACGATGGAAACTAATTTTGCCCAAACTATCAGATATACTACTAAAGATAATGAAAAAACAAATAATGTATAAAATACTATGAAACAATATAAAACATTGATAAAATAATTCAAACATTTAAAATCATCAAAAAAAGCATTTGATATTCCAAGATTACAAAAGCTTCCATTTTGGATCAAAGGTCGGGAAAGGACAAATTTTCTAAAATTTAAAACCGAGTTCCTGTGTAGTCTTTTTTTTTTCTGGTGTAATAACCAGATCAATGGTAGTTCTGTACCATTTCCTTTTTTTTCTTTTTCAGCTTTAAAAAACTGATCTAAAATAAAAGAAATGTAGAGGCTATTTCATGATTTATAACATGCCACTTATTTCCAAGTTCAAACCAAAACTAATGTTATATATTCTATGAAGCGTTATGGAAAACCCAAAAAATAAATCTAACCAAATAAATCACCAAAAGGAAAGCAATAATAGTCAGTGTAAACAATTTCCACAAACCTGCATTGTTTTGCCCAAACCCATGTCATCCCCTAAAATTCCTCCGGTACGACGACAATGAAGAGACCACAACCATTTCAACCCATCACGCTGATGCGGGTAAAGCATTTTTGCAATTTTACCAGGCAATTTGTAGTTCGACATGGGCCCATTCAAAGTAATTGTATCCTTCTCATCATCCTCAACCGAATCATCGGTATAATTTTCGGAGACGGCATTACGAACTTCTTCTACAACATTACGAGATTCATGCTTTACACTTTTACTGGCCTCGTTACTGCTTAAAGCTACACTGTCATCGTCGTCACCGTCACCATAGGGAACTACAGAATGTCGCACTGAAACAGCGTTGTTTGTCTTCGCATCATTGTACCCATGTCCTTTACTAGCATTTTCTACAAATTTTACCCCACCAAAGTTATCACCTTCACATTCACTTCGTATATCCAATGACTTACTCGGATTCTCTATGTGTTTCTCCGCATTGATCTCAACATCCTCGGCGTCCTTAAACTGAGTTGCAGAGTCCGAAGAGGAACTAGAGGGATCCGATGAGAGAGAAAAGGAGGAAGAAGCACTGGCATATTCAGGAACGGGAGCAACCTGTTTCTTGGGCACTTCATCTGTAAACAGCGGAGTACACCCTTCAATTGGCTCAACCGTTTTAGGGACTGGTCTTCTCTTCTCGATGGATAAATATTCGAGTCTCGAGCTTAACTCGTTAAGTATATCCCTTATCTCGTTACCTCCACTGGCAACGCTCTCGATGACAGGCTTTGCAGGTGGAGAATTGAAGTCCGCAATTTCGTTACCACCGCCGAAGACGCTATCGATGGAGTCCTTTGAAGGTGGAGAAACAAAATCAGTGATTCCCGAGTAACTAGGGGCATCGAATCCGGCGACATCGTCGTCGTCTCCGGACGAGAGCTTGCAGAGACGGCGTCGACCTTCTAGCTTGACCTTGCGCGGCTGCTCTGGGAGTGAAGAAGTTTTGGCTGATCGGCTCTGGGGGTACATATCTTCGAGGAGGCGGTTGTGTCGCTCGTTGAGACTCAGAGGTTTCTTCTCCGCCATTGTAGCGGGAGGATCCACTGCGCCAAAGCGACAGAAGAAATGGAAACGTAGTGTGTAAGAAAGGTGTAGGTTCTCAACTTCTTTTGTGTAGCTGTTGCGTTTTGGTTTTGGGGTAATGGGTCAGATGGGGTTTTCTCGTTTCCCCGCTTTATTCGGATTTGAAATTTGGATGTCCATTTTATGAGTTCGGATCTTCTACCATTTGATGAGGCCTCTGGCTCTGACTGGTTGGGATCCTCTTGTTAAGTTGTTCCCAGGTCAGTTTGATTTTGTTAAAAAAAATGGGTAAAATATAAAAACCTCCCTGAAATTTCTGACAATTATAAAAACCTTTCGTACTTTGGGTCTAGTGCCACTTTGGTCTTCAAACTTTAAAATGTGATAATTTAGTACTCAAATTTTTAAAACGTGCCAATCGAGTACCTGCCATTAACAAACCCGTTAATCAGCCATTAAATGATATTATAAAAGACATAAATACCCTTCAAGTGTCATCTAATTCTCTTTATCTACCATCCAAATGTTGACAAAAAAATAATGGTCTCAAGTCCTTACCTCTTCTGTTCAAGAAAGTTGGGGTCACCAGAATGTCCATTTAGACGTAACCCCAATATTTATGAATAGAAGAGGCAAGGATTTGAGACTATTCATTTTTTATCAACATATAGATGGTTGATAAAAAAATTAGATGACAATCAAAGGGTATTTGTGTCTTTTCAAATGTCACTTAATGGCTAATTAACGAATTGGTGAATGACAAGTACTGGATTGACACATTTTGAAAGTTTGGGTATTGAATTGTTGCATTTTAAAGTACGGGAACCATAGTGGCACTAGACCCAAAGTATAAGATACTAATTGGGAATTTTCCCTACAAAAGAAATCATAAAATACCATATTTGCCCTCAATCGAGCAACATCTCCCAATTTCCCTCATTTTTGCTGACGAAAAAGCCCTAACTAGTAGCTACAACCATAACCGTCAAACCACTCTCATTCTAATAAAAGAGGGGATCCCCAGCTGAATTCGTTCAAATTCATTTGAACAAATCCTTTCTCCCACTTAAGCCCAAACATTTGTTGCCCAAAGTTATCAGAATACCTTATCATTGATGTCACGCATCTCCATTTTAAGAACTCCACAATCTTCAATCCACTTGGCATCATTTCCATTTAATTTGTTAGCCTATGATTCTAACGAACTTGTAGAGTTGTAGGGCAGTAATGTCTTTATTTTATTTATATTGTTGTTAATGTCATTGTTGTTAGGGTAAGTAAGTTAAGTTAGTTATTTTTGTTGTTATTTTAAGTTGCTGACATGTTTAGTTAGTAGGGGCAATATTGTAAGTGTACTTCTTTTAAGTTATTATATATATAACCGAGTGAGGCGGCAAGCCTATTTCACTCTCGTCTAAGGTATCTTTTTCTTCGTCTTCTCTCTTCTCTCTCTCACTAATCCATTCTCTATTTTGAATTCTCATCTAGAGTAGAGCTGATCCCAGTCTCTACTAGACAAGTTGGTATCAGAGCCGTTTCTCGTGAGAGTCTAATCAAGTTGACTGTATGAGAACTTTCTAGGGTTGAGAGTTTTAGTAAGATTTGGTAATCGGCTGGTTCTTGAAAATCATTGGCAGAGTGCAACACCTTTTCAAGAACTATTTGCGGTATTGGACAGAGTCTGGTGATCAAGAAGAATCAAAGAGAAGAAAAGAAACTCAAGATTAGGGTTCAAACTAAGGATTGAAAGTGGCATCTAGTGTTTTCTGGGCAAGTTTCAATCTTTTCTTGAGATCGACTCCAATCAAGAATTGATCAAAGTGATCTGGGAGGAGCGGTTGCTTTTTTCTGATTTCTCCTGAATTTTTTTAGGGTTTTCTTTAGTTTTTTTAAAACCCTATTAGTCTGAAACCCTATTGATTGTGATCAAGTTCTTTGTAAGAATTGATCCTTTTTCAGCATTCCATATTGGTTGGTGATGAGCTTTTAAAGATTTTGTAATTTACCAAAAAGTCATTCTGGTCCAATTCAATATTTCTTATTGGTCCATCCAACTGATGCAAATTGATCCCGGTCCATTGAAGCTTTTGGTTAGAAAGATTGAAGAAGTTACAATTAGACTTTGTCAATTTAAAATTTGAGATTGGAACCGGAACGACAAAAGGATATCGCTAAAGATGAACGGGAAAAAAAAAAACTCTATTAAAATGAGTTTGAGATTCGACAGATACGGAGCAAAGTAAGATCAACGTACGTATATCCGAAGCAAACCTGAAGTACTAGTAATCGTTTCGAGTTAGAGGTTCTTGTAGCGTCGGTGATGGCAATCATCCTGCAAAAGAAAAAGAAAAGAAATCTGTTAATTTTCTTTAGTTAATTTGCAATCTCTGTAAAGAAAAAGATGAGTTAGCTGTTTCCGGTAAGCCAAGAAAAGGCAAGAACACGAGACATAAAAAAAGAAAAGATAATTAATTTGCTTACTCTGTATTATCTCCTATTCTCTTCTTGATGAATGCTGATGCATCCGGCTGGACTTCCGGCAAGCTTTACAATATACCAGAGGAGTAGAAAGCGAGGAGGACGATGACGGTGTAGAGATGAATAGGAATTTTGTTCCCCACTCTCTTCAACATCATGGCCTTCCTCGCTTCCTACAACTCTGATCATCAACCCATGCATACCATTGCTAACACTAACAAAGTTTCGTGTATTATAGCTACATATATTTATAAAGAGAGAGATTGGTTGTTGAGTAGAATTGCGGAAAGAAACGTTTCGAGGTCAATTAGTCCATTAATTGGGGTAATCCTTCTTGGCGTTGGCAACAACTTCTAGAAGTAATTGATCCAATTAGTCCATTCTTTTATCTAACCCATTTTGCATCCAAGAGAATTTCTATTCAGGTTTTGGGTAGCCCATGCCCATACTAATTACACCTGGCAATTGGGTTGGATGGATCGGGTTCGGGTTGGGTCAAGGTATTTCAGGTTGATTTCAGGTCGGGTTGAATTTCGGGCTGGGTTGTTAAATGCTAGACCCTAATTCTAAATGTTCAGGTTAGGGTTGACCCATAGGTCAATTTGGATCATTCAAAAAATAATTGAAATTTAAAAAAATAAAAAAAATACATGAAAAATATCAAAATTAAAAAGAATTAACCTTAAAATTTCAAATATAAAATAAAAAACTTGAACATTTAACAATTTAAAGAGTAAACAATAAAATGTAAAGATTAAATTGAAAAACTAAAGAGTGAAAAATTCTAATAATGCATAAATAATCCCAATTTGACTTGACAATTGGATAAGCGGATTGACCCATGACCCAACCCAACCCAGTTTTTTCCGGGTTGGGTCGGGTCATGTCATTTTCACATTCGGGTAACTAAATATGAGACCCTAACCCTGTTTTTTCGGGTTGGGTCGGATTTGCAGGTTTGCAGGTTGGGTCAACTTTTTGCCAGGTCTAATACTAATAAGTAATAACAATTGGTATAAGATCTATGTGCAACCTTGGCCCGTTATGGTCTGGCCGAGTTCAATCCACTATGATTGTGTGTTCGGCCTGTACCTCAATCAACTAMTCATTGCTCAACATCGTATACAAGTTTTTACCTACATGACTAAGTACGTTTACCCAAGTCAAGTGTTTTTCATATAAACTAGCCAAAATAAGCAAGTTTCTAGAATTCTTGTATGATATTAGTTAGTTAGGTAAAAGAGAGGTGAGAAGAAGAGAGCGCTTATCGGCTTTAACAAGSAGGTGGATAAATTGTTTATCCACCTTGTAAGAGGGTATCGGTTACTCGATCGGGTAGCTAATATTCTCAGATATCCTGAAGTTTCATGAGATTCAATATAGCAACAAATAAACGCAGGTATTGTAGTTAACCTACTAGTTAACCAACTCAACCCCCACTAAATTACCGGCAAATTAACAAATGGGTTATATCAATGTTCCAATCTGACCCCACAAGTCAAGAAGATCCTTGCTTGTAACTAGATATCTGCATTCCAGTATGGTAGCACAAATACTAGACATAGAGTCTCTCTTGTGCATATTCCAAAAGGACTCTCCATGCTTAATTAATTTTACTTTGAAAACTTGGGCCCATAATTGGTTCCATCACTTGCATGGAGGCATTATTCATAGAATGCCTTTTTCTTAAGCAATAATCCATTTATTTTAATGAATTTGATCCACCTCCAACTAAAATTGCAACTAGTGCAATGAAGCCCATAACCATTCATCTCATAGCACCAAGGAGCCTTGGACCTCCAAGAGTCCAAATAGATGTGGCATTGGGCCAAATTGTACTCTACTACCTCCAAATTTCAAACTTGTAAACCTGACCCATGCCCTCTTAGGATGAGTGGCTAACAAAAGTGCACACCACAGGCTCTGCGCATCTCAATGTGCATAAGGGAGATGTTCACAATGCATAGTTGGGATGTGTTATGGGATGGGCTATGTGGGGAGCCAATCCAAATTCATACTTTGGGGGTAATGATACTAAAGGGCTTCAATTTTCAATTGCAATAACCAACTATTTTAAGCAGTCAAAAACAACACTTAAGCCCAACATTGTTAATTAATGGGCATTATGTTAAGTGGTAAAATTACCAAACTACCTAATTTAATTTGTTTATGCAGTTTAGATAATGAATTTATTGAGCTAGTTTCAAGGAATGGTTAGATTTTGTGCAAGGTCACTCTGGTAGAACTCGAAAGAGCCCCCTCATGAAACAGTCTTATGAAACATGTGAAGGGTAGTTTTAGGATTTTGAAATGTTTAAAGGTGGCACATGACATCACATATTGCTAGGGTAGAAATCAAGGTAGGTTTGGGGAGATTTTTTTTTTCAAAATTCTAGACCTTTCTCTCCCCAAAACCTATAGTAGGTTGGATTTTTAGAGTCTAAACCCTCCTCACACATGAAAATGCAAAACCCTTCCTGACCCTACCCTCCACCCTCCCCACATTCATGGGTGGGGTGGGCCGGATTGTTGAGTTGGGTCTACAACCCACATCTAATTTCTTCTTATATATAAACACTAAACAAGTAAAATGGCATGAGCAAACATCAAATTTCCAATTATTTGATTTAAACATGTAGAAAACACAAA